GACGCCAGGAAGGATGAGAGATAGTGATTGTGCAGGAGAGCCTGATGTCTTGTCGCATAGGCCGCTTCTGTTGGAGACATTCTGTCTCTCAGCTCTTGGGTTGAGAGGTAATGTAGGGTGTGTTTATCGATCTAAGGACAGTCAATTCCCTGTAGGTTAATGAGACTAAGGACACTTACCTTTGCTATGCGAGCCCGAAGAAAACTTCGAACGAGGAATTTGTACCTCTCGAGCTCAGTCTGAATAACGATGAGGGCAAAGTTTGTCTTTGGATCCATATCACCCGTCATATCCTCCACCTTTTCGATCTGGGATTTGATGCGTGCATTGACGCGCTCGAACAAGCCATCTGTTGGCCATCTACATAGAAGTTGTGAGTATTAGGAAGCAGGAAAAAAGAGCACTCAAGACTTACTCGAGAAGCTCAGGTGCTGAGCGTTCAGCAACCCAGAGACGCGTCAAAGCTTGCAGATCGCGTGTTTCGCTGGGGATTCTGTGAGACGTGGGGTCGACTTGGCGAAGAATGTCATCGATATCCATTTCAAAAAATAAATCGTTCTCGAATCATGAGGCAGAAAAGTTTATAGAATGTTCGGCGGCACAGTTGGCTGGCTTATATTATATATTTTCCTCTTCAGGTTGATGGTCAAGTGAGACTATGTATGGTGGAGTGCATTTGTGAGGCTGAAGGGAATGGATGTTTCTGTGGGAGCGGGGCCACTCACTGTAATACTAGGTAGGTATTATAATTGGTGTCCTCGCCATTTGACACCCGAGACTTGACGATCTTTTCAGCAATTGTTCGTAAATGTTGACTCTAAAAGAAGGATGCTTATATCAAGCTCTCTTGAATTTGTTCTTCACGGATATGTACAAGGTTTGTTGGCCTTCTATGTTTCAGTGGTTGATCCCACACCAAGCAATTGCCTATCACCTCTATCCTTCAAATCATCTCCCTCCCCATCTTTACACATCTACATGTTCTGCATTTGCCCCAATCTGTTTGAGATGGTTACTGGACCTTCTTGAGAGGCTTATGTGCCTCCCTTTCTGCTTTTCCGAAGCCATTCACTCGGCCATACACCCACTTGAGGAACGAGGAAGAGACTGTGACTAGCCCAGCTGAAAAAGTAAACAGCATTACTCGCTGGGTAGTGGAAAGAAGTTCGAACAGTGGATACGGGTACCTATAGACGTTAACGACCTATCGACTCACACTCACCGAGAAGTCAAGAACAACTTACCATCCATTGTGGCTAAAGCAGAGCTCAACCCAGTACCAATAGGCAAAGGCAATGACAGTGCTGATTGCCATTATACCGTAAGCTGGGATGGTCCAAGGAGGGCTAAGAAGGACTAGATCCAGACTCAGGAGTACAGCCGGCGCAAGGTGAAATCCCATATCAGGGACGATGTGCAGATAGAAGTCATCAGGCATGAGCAGCTTGGGGTCAATGAGCCTCAGTCCCCAATACAAGATTGAGATGACAACTTCCAAGGGCGTAGCAAGAACAGCAACCGCATTCTTAGCCTGGAAGAGTGTTTGGCTCAGGGTAATATCGGCCAATGCCCCGAGAACAAAGGCAATGAGTGATGCTGAAAGGCCAATAATGGTAAGGAACTGCATATGCCATCCATAAGACCTGGCTATAGGTGTATCCCAGACTGTGAGAAAGTGAAAGTTGTAACTGAAAGAGGCTATTCCGATGATATGAAGCAATAGCGAAACATCTCGTGAGGGCGACGTAAGTCGTTGAAGGGGGTGACGAGGTGCCATGATGGTCGTGGTCCAGAGAGGTTATTCAGCGCTTATTCAGGTGGGATGTACAAGCCGTAGTCGAGAGGAAGAATTATATGATATAAAACGGAGAATAGAAGTGAAAGATTAGAAACGATGGAATTCGAATGTACTACGGATATTTCACATGATATAACTAATACTGGAAAGCAAGGAAACGAACCTGATTTGACCCGTCTTCGGAGCCGGGGTCTCGGACCTCATGGGATCCCGTTTAGGTACGTTTAATAGATGTCATGACCTCAATGTGGACCTGATTGGCATTGTATTTACTACCTAGGTAGGTACTGGGCCTAGGAACGCCACAATTCGAGGTCGTGCCACTTGAGGCTGAAATTGTCTCGACAACATGGAATCTGTGCCTGTCGCGAAGTGTACATCCACGAAAAACTGCATCTTGGTCGCAACAACCCAGAAACAACGGGTTTACATTTCTGGAGCAGGCCGATAATCGAGATGGCCTCAGATGATGACAATCGCTCACAGAAGCGCAACCATTCCGAGTTTCGTGATGATGCGTCCGGTACAGCAATCCCTATCGCGTCACAAATAACGATGCTAACAAATCGTCCAGACAGCTCCTCCGACGATGAAATGGGCCCTCAACTGCCCTCGCAAGCCCCCAAGAAGAAGCGGCGAGTCCTGCCCCACGAAAAGCTTTACGTCGCGGCTTTGCCCAAGTCGCCCCGTTATTCAAAGTCCCTGATGCACAAGGAACAGATCCTCTTTGCGACATGGACTCCCCTGACCGAATTCCTCATCACGTCCTCGATCGATGGTGTCGTCAAGTTTTGGAAGAAGATTGCTCAAGGCATTGAGTTTGTCAAGGAGTTTAAGGCGCACGATGGCGAGATTAAGTCGGTTTCCGTGAGCAATGATGGACGAAGCTTCGCGACGGCCGGTGTCGACGAAACAGTCAAGATTTTCGACGTCATCACATTCGACCTACTATCCATGATCTCTCTTAACTATGCTCCCAACTGTGTATGCTGGGTTCATAGCAAGGGCGCCTCGCTGCCACTCCTGGCCGTATCCGAGGAAACAAAACCCCTGATTCATATCTACGACGGACGAGGCGAGAAGGAGGAGGCTATCCACACTATCAAGGGCTTGCATAGGAAGCCTGTGCATCTAATGGCTTTCAACGAGGCATACGACTGTGTGGTGTCCGCTGACGAGGGTGGTATGCTTGAATATTGGCGACCGAGCGGCGACTACGAAAAGCCAGATGGAGTTTTTGAGTACAAGAGTTCAACCAACCTTTTCGACTTCAAAAAGGCCAAATCGGTGCCGTCATGCCTCTCCATATCTCCCAACGGCAAAAGTTTGGTAGCATTCTCTTTGCCAGATAGGAAAATACGCATCTTTGACTTTGCAACAGCCAAATTACATCGCGAGTACGACGAATCTTTGCAGGTTGCTGAGGAGATGCACCGTTCAGGGGCGGGAGCTGCTAAACTTGACAACGTCGAGTTTGGACGGAGGACAGCTCACGAGAGAGACATTGAATCGCAGACGCTCAAGTACAAGTCCAATGTCATCTTCGACGAATCAGGGAACTTTATTATCTACGGCTCCATGCTGGGAATCAAGGTGCTCAATACATATACCAACCAAGTGGTCAAGGTGTATGGCAAGGATGAGAACTTCCGCGCTGTCAATATTGCCATATACCAAGGGGCACCTCAGAAGAAGGGAGTGACGACAGTAGAAATGGGTGCTTCCAGTAATCCCCTTTTACAGGAAGCAGAGACCCGAGATCCAATTCTGGTTGCCACTGGTGTTAGTAAGGTGCGGTTTTACATGTTTTCAAACGAGGAAGACATCTCCAAGTCGACACGAGATGTGCAGAACGAGAAACCGATGGTGTTGGGCAACAAGAAGGACGCACAAGCGAAGAAGACCGAGACGGGCACCGGAGCCGTCATTCACACTACGTATGGAGACATTCACATCCGCCTGTTCCCTGACGCGGCACCAAAGACGGTTGAGAACTTTGTCACACATTCTAAGAATGGCTACTACAACAACACAATCTTCCACCGTGTCATCCGCAAGTTCATGATCCAGGGTGGAGATCCTCTAGGTGATGGTACTGGGGGTGAGAGCATCTGGGGCCGCGAATTTGAAGACGAGTTTAGCAGCCTCAAACACGATAAGCCATACACAGTCAGCATGGCCAATGCTGGACCTAACACGAACGCCAGCCAGTTCTTTATCACAACAGAGAAGACGGTAAGTTTGCTTCCTGTTCTTAACGATGAGCATGCACTGATGTTGAACAGCCATGGCTAGACGGAAAGCACACCATTTTTGGTCGTGCTACCCAGGGATTTGACATCATCCACAAAATCGAGAACGTACGGACGCACAAGGAGAAACCCGAGGAGGATATCAAGGTGCTTAACATTGATATCATATAGTAATACTGATGACCGGGCACGAACCTGCAAAATCGGGAAACGCCCACATCGCCATGTTGATACGACTAGCTCACTCTTGACATCCATGCTGAGCCCGTGAGGGCATGTAGAAACCAAGAGTCCTCTCCGCGACGTCGAACTCTGCTACACTGGCTGAACGCCGCCAAAGTCGTCGTCCGTAGAGCTTCTGTCCATCGTCGCCCCTAAATATCCGACTTTAATTAGTGCAAAACCTCACCAGCCAAAGTGGCAAGTAGTGGCCGTTCGCCATTTTTGTCTCTTCGCTAAAGGTGAGTCAAGCTAAAAATCTGGAGCTTCCTTCCCGTCCACTCCACTTAGACTAGGTAGACTACCTACCTAGACAATGGGTACTTGATCCTCCACCAGGATTGCACGTCTCGGCCCTGTACTGAACCTCTTGGGATCGTTGCTGAACCGGCCAGCTAGATTGCGGGGCAAGGTCCATTTCATCCAATCAGCGGCGGGATAATCGAACCTGAAAGGCGTTGAGTGACTCTCTTGAGTGTGACACACCGAGGCCGGCGCAAAGGGAAAGTGAAGGAAGAAAGGGACAGGTCAGGGTCTGGAAACCACATAAAAGCATAATTTTTTTGGGCCTGGTCAAGAGGACTTGATGTTATTCTTAATTTTTCACACTTAGCTCTTCTCATCATATTCCCCTTTCTGCGGTATTCCAAGATTCGCGCAATTCAGTTCCTCTCTTCTCTTAACATCCCACTCTGACTTGTACACCCTCCAACCCCACCATCGCCGTCACCATGTCTTCTGTAAGTCCACCTCTTCGAGCTCTCTACTCTCCGCTCTCTGCTTTCAGTGTGAGGAGTGACTCACGATGATCTCAGTTCTTCATTCCCAACAAGAACGTTGGCAACCAAGCCGACTCGGAAGATTGGAGAAGTAAGCATCCGCCAATAGCTCTCTCTGGCTTAAACACCTCGTCCTTCCAGCGCATATATTAATTATTTCTAGTTCGCGGTTACAACCCTCTGACTCCCCCCGACCTCCTTCAACACGAGATCTCCCAAACCCCCGAGTCCAAGAAAACCGTCCTGCAAGGTCGTAATGAGACTGTAGCCATTGTTAATGGCACCGACGAGAAGAACCGATTGCTTGTCGTCATTGGTCCTTGTTCCATCCACGACCCTGCTGCCGCCCTAGCCTACTGTGACCTCCTCTTGAAGGAGAAGGAGAAGCATAAGGATGAGCTTCTCATCGTCATGCGATCTTACCTCGAGAAGCCACGCACAACTGTTGGCTGGAAGGGGTTGATCAATGATCCTGATATCGATGGTAGCTTCCAGATCAACAAGGGTCTGCGAATCTCTCGCCAACTCTTCGTCGACCTTACAGCCAAGGGTATGCCCATTGCCAGTGAAATGCTGGACACTATTTCTCCCCAGTTCCTCGCCGATCTGCTCTCAGTGGGTGCCATAGGCGCCCGTACAACCGAGAGCCAGCTTCACCGTGAGCTTGCCAGTGGTCTGAGTTACCCCGTGGGCTTCAAGAACGGAACTGATGGTTCTTTGAACGTCGCCATTGATGCCATTGGTGCAGCCCAGCACCCCCACCACTTCCTGTCTGTTACCAAGCCTGGTGTTGTCGCCATTGTTGGTACCGAAGGCAACAATGATTGCTTCGTCATCCTTCGCGGTGGCTCCAAGGGCACCAATTTCGATGCTGAGAGCATTGCTGCTGCCAAAGAGGCGCTCAAGAAGAAGGGCGTACGACAGCGAGTCATGGTCGACTGCAGTCACGGTAACTCTTCCAAGAACCACAAGAACCAGCCCAAGGTTGCTGCCGATATTGCAGGCCAGATCTCCAAGGGAGAGGAGGGTATCATGGGAGTCATGATTGAGAGTAACATCAACGAGGGTAAGTCACGGTCCTCGTTAAAAGAATCGGCCTCAGCTAACTTATTAAAGGTAACCAAAAGGTACCCGCTGAGGGTAAGTCGGGGCTCAAGTATGGTGTAAGCATCACCGATGCTTGTATTAGCTGGGAAGACACTGTCTCAACACTCGAGACTCTTGCGCAGGCCGTCAAGGCCCGCCGAAAGCTCTCAAACGGAGCCTAATTTCTGATTTCTACCACATTATGGGCATGTGATAAGTTTAGCGCCGGATCCAGAACAATTTGTCTTTGGGATTGGGGTTGTATATTGTTGCGGTGGCTCGCGTATTTGATTCAAGGCTTGGAGTTTAATGGATTCTTGATTCAAAGGATAGATAAAAAGCATAAGGCAAACGGGCGAAATCTGGAAAGTAACAGACAATGAGAAGATGTGAGGTTATTTAACATAAAATAGCTGGATTTCCATCGTGTTGATTGATTTGAAGCCATCAACTTCCCGCCACTCGATGAGATAGATCTAGGAAACTCGATAAAAACAACAGATTAACCTTTTCTCCTCCTGGGCAGAATAGACTCTATTTTTGCCTTCTATCTAATATCAACTCTCAATAAATAAGCCTTTTAATATATACTTTTATCACGATTCAACCATTCCTTATGCCTATTGGTTATGAAAAGGCTTGTAAGGTGGTCAAACCGTGGATAAACCCATCAAAAGCACTAAAAACACATTATGTCCTCTCGAAGAGGAGGTTTCTATTGTGTAAATCAGCCATTTCCTTACTGGAGTGTATCACACACTGTCCCTGCCAGACGCGCACACTGTGACAGCCAAGTTGTTATGTCTGGCGCGGCGTTATTGCTCCTGGTCTGATCTTATTAACACTGTGCCGCTAATAAGCTTCCAACTGGCGTTTTTGAAGAACAAGCAACCCAAGTTCTCATATTTTAGATAATCACCAACCCGCTTATCAAAGAGATTCGCAGTAGTTTCTGCATCTCAATCATCAACCAGCAGCTCGCTAGATTTCTCCGCTATTCAAATATCATCAATATCCTTTAACCCCTCGCAATCACTCTCAGCTTCATCAATAAGGAGACGCGCCTGAGCGTCCAGGTCGCCAACAATGGTACGCGACTCCTCACCACCCGAGTCGCCGCTCTCATCGGTGGACGAGTCAGACCAATACGAAGAGGACGGCCACGAGTACGATGAATCAACATTGCGGCCCTCGAAGCGCCAGCGACTTGAAGCCGGTTCAACTACATCTTCTGCTGTAGTTCCCGATGTCGAAGCCGAAGCGGTGCCTGAGCCTGATCCCCTCGAGGGCATGTCCGATGTGTCATCGGATACCTCAGGCGATATCCCCAGTTCCCCGATCAATGCGCGCCTCGACGAAGAAGACTTCCAAGAACAAGTCACGAAATGCGACTGGGATGGTTGTCCAGCGGGCGACCAGGGCAACATGGACAAGCTGGTTGAACACATCCATAACTCGCATATTGAGAACCGGCAGAAGAAGTATACCTGCGAATGGATGAGCTGTACGCGAAAGGGCCTACCGCACGCCAGTGGTTATGCCCTCAAGGCACACATGCGCAGCCATACAAGGGAGAAGCCTTTTTACTGCTACTTACCTGGTACAATCACCTCTGCTGATTTTCCTTTGCGTAACATGCTAACTCGCTGCAGAATGCGACCGGTCTTTCACAAGAAGCGATGCACTTGCTAAACATATGCGTACGGTTCACGAGACAGAAGCACTCCGTCCGTCTGACCCTGTTCCCAAGTCGATGCAAGCCGGGCCACAGGGCAAGGGAGGCAAGATAAAAATCATCATGAAGACCAACCAACAATCGCAAGGGCCCCATGATGACATGGACGATGCTGCCAACGGCGACGAATCTAACGCCGAGTACTTTACACCATTGACGTCGGATCTCTTCACTCATGCTGAGCTTGAGCTTCCTGTCGACAAGCTGTACCGAAAGTGCCATTGGGAGGGCAAGTGGGCCGAGGAGATTGGAGAGTCTCTGATGAAAGAGTGCAAAGAGTGGGAGGAAATCTATTACAAGGAGTGGCTCGAGAAGGAGGTTCTACTTGCGCAGGTCATTCAGAGCGAGGTCAATTGGCATGAGCGACGACAGGCCATTCTCACAGGGGTTGTCGATGTTCACGTTCCTGGCGCCGTAGAGAGCGTCGAAGGCGAGAGGACAAACGGTGCGAACGCTGAAAGCGACGGAGCTGCCAACGGGACAAAGGTGGCAGAGCTCACTGCGTAGGGAGATCTTTCACCAAGGACCACCGACACCTTGATACCTCGACGAAATCCACCCCGACGTCGCCGGATACCTTATGCAAGGCAGATATACTGGTAACTGCACGCTTTGCACTATAAAACTTTGCACCACAAAATATTTTACGGAAGGGAGTTGAGGGAGTTGGGTTATGAGAAATGGGGAGCTTACAATACACGGGTTCTAATTCCCAATATAGCTGACTAAATCATGATTTAATTGAAACGGTATACATAGACATATGCCCACGTAGCCTGTTCTTACAGAGCCTTCTTCTTGGCCCGGTACGATTGAGAGTTCTTGAAAGGGAATCCGCTTGTGCTCTGGTCAAACTTGTGGTACCGGCTCGTCATGGCTGTATCGCCAGCAAACAACACACAGTACAATCCAAAGGACGCAAAGACGGCACTACCTAAACAGCCAAGTAAGAACCCCGTCTCCCCAGTCCAGGAATAGCGACCGTAGCAGTAAAAGGCGCCCGAAGCGTGATGGAGGGTGGATATGAGGACCGCAGCGGAAGCATAGGGAGATGGTGCGCTTTCGGGGGCTTCTGCCATTGGGAGTTAGACGAATGCAACTCTAAGCGAGAGGTGTTTGTTACCTTTTGAAGCAGAATCGAGAGGAAGAACGCCCGAAAGAACCACTACGGTAAGGCCGAGCGCAAGGAGAGCGAGTCCTAAAGAGCGGGCAAAGTACGTTTCCAAAGCTCGGGAGTTGTTAGCCGACACGATAGCGAGGAGCTGAAGGAGAGCCTTACTGGTACATGTCTCGTTGTCAGGCCGAAGAAGAGACCCGACAAAGGAGGGCCAGATAATGAGAGGAAGACCTTGAGTGCTCAACCAGAGAAAGTTACCATATGTGTATGAAGCAATGGCCTGGGAATTGTCAGTCGATGAATCGAGAGCATGATAGTGGAAGCGCATACGCTCATTGTTCCAAGTTGTGTATAAGCAAGGTTTGAATGAGAATAGCAAAAGGCAAAGTCACGATTCAGTCAAGGTGAAGCTATAATTGAAGATGCAGGTAGAGGCTGAAGCTGAAGCTCTGGAGCTGATCAATGTCTGGAGGTCAGAGGCTTAGACCAAGCATCGACGTCACCATCAGGTATGAAAGGTATGTGCCTAGGGGCCCCATCGCATCCGGCTTGCCTTCCGCTATGGAACCCCACACTCCCGAACCGAGAGGCTGGACGGCTTGGACGATTCGCCACCAAAATTTATAGAGCCGCTTCTGTCTGGTCCGATCTCGCATGTGCACTGTTAGACTATCCCGCCCAAGGCCCTGACTGTGGAGGGACTAAAAATCACCATTGCAAATCACAACGTTTTTATTGCCTATCTATCACTTTATTGGCACGGCCTGATGCGCCGTCTTCGCCGTGTCCGGTCCTCCGAGGAGTTATACAAAACCAGGCCCATGTGTAAGCCAACCCGGGATTAAGTGACTATCAGAAACATTTCATACCTTATCTCTGGATTACATTTAAGACCTTTTTGTTCTGATATCAGTATTTCTTCTCTTTAATCTCCCATTACTGCAAATCGTCAGGACAAGACTGCAGGTTTATTTGTCAGCTAGCTTGCTCCAGTCACAATTACGTCCAAGTCTCCAGTTAAAAATTCCCGACAGGCAACTTCGCACTTCGACAAGAATATCCTGTCTTCAACAAGCTCTCACACTGCCAACGAGGGCATCCTCCTCCTCCACCGCATACAGCATCTCCTCAAACAACCGGCGCTATGAGTGCCATTCTCTCTGCCGACGACCTCAACGACTTCATCTCTCCTGGCGTCGCTTGCATCAAACCCGTCGAGACTCTCCCCGCTGCCCCGCCCCCGCAATCTCTCGAGACTGAAGTTATACTTGACGGCCAACAGCCCGCTACGAATCCGAATGCGCCCGCTCAGATCTCCCTCACAGACTGTCTAGCCTGCTCTGGATGTGTTACATCTGCCGAGGCTGTCTTAGTGAGCCTCCAGAGTCATGCCGAAGTCCTCGCCACTCTCGATTCGGCCCCAGCCTTGAAGTTGGTGACAGACGATAGTGGCAAGTTCAGGGTGGAAGGGCTAGAGGAGGAGAATGCAAAGCTCTTTGTTGTTAGCGTGAGCCCTCAAACAAGGGCCAACTTAGCGGCAGCATGTGGCGGAGGCGTGTCAGAGGGCGATGCCGGGTACATGCTGGACAACCTTTTTCGTGGTCCCTCTGGAATCGCCAGTGGCGGCAAATACAATAACAAGTTCACATGGGTGGTTGATACCAATACTGCGAGGAAGGCAACCCTCGTTCTTGGGGCAGATGAAGTTCTCAGCACCTCTCAGACCGAAACCGCAACCCCAGCCAAACCCATATTATCCTCGTCCTGCCCCGGTTGGGTGTGCTATGCGGAAAAGACACACCCCCACGTTCTACCCCATATCTCAAAGGTGAAGTCGCCACAGGCCTTAATGGGCACATTACTAAAGACGACACTGAGCCGAACGCTGGGTATTGCACCTGGCCGCATCTGGCATCTGGCTGTTATGCCATGCTTTGATAAGAAACTCGAGGCAAGCCGAGAGGAGCTGACCGAGGAGGTTTGGGCTGAAGGGGAAACCGGGGGGCGTGGGGTTCGCGACGTTGACTGTGTCATCACAAGTAAGGAGATTCTCATGCTCGCCGAGTCAAGAGGTCTCAGCTTCTTCGATATCCCCAAGACACCGCTGCAAAGCAAAAGTCTAACCCCATTCCCTGATCCAAAGCTCCACGAGTTTCTTTTCCCTCGCACACGGACCGGAAATACACCTCGCGAAGCCGGCACTTCAGGGGGCCTTCTCTATCATATTCTCAAAAGCCGGGCGGCACAGACTCCTGGCGCAGAGGTTGTGCATACACGCGGCCGCAACGTTGATGTTGCTGAGTACTCGATATTGGTGAATGGCGAGCCAGTCTTCCGTGCTGCCCGGTATTATGGCTTCAGGAATATCCAAAATCTCGTTCGAAGACTAAAGCCCGCCAGGCCGTCTCGAATGCCTGGCGGCAAGCCTTTTGGAAGTGCTCGGAAGCCTGCAGGCAAGGCGGCCTCCCTAGAGTATAGTTATGTTGAAGTCATGGCATGCCCTGGCGGCTGTACAAATGGCGGCGGCCAAATAAAAGTTGATGACCCTGTTGTCATGGAAAGAAACAATTACTCCGGAAATCCAGGCCCTCAAGAGCAAAAGATGTGGTTGTCAGAGGTTGACGAGGCATATTTCTCCGAAGACGAGGCGGGCACTGAAGTTTCGGTTGTTGGGACTGCCGAGACTATTGGTGGCATTTCCCACTCATATATAAATGATACCCTGGCACATTGGGCGGAAGTTACAGGTATTGGCTTAGATAGACTGGCGTTTACGACATATCGTGAAGTTATTAGCGATGTTGGAAAGGATAAAACGACGGACGAGACGGTGGTGCAGCTGGCCGGAAAGATTGGAGGTGGGTGGTAGAAGCAGAGCATGTCGATAGAAATAATCAACTGCCCCTGTTGCCTCGATGAGCAAACCCGAATCCTCCTCGGCCACTTCCATCTGGTCCTTTTGGTGATCGAATTGGTGCCCGTGGTTGCAATTGCTGCTGCTGCTGCTGCTGCTGCTCATCTCGAGGAGTTGTACTCCTACCAGGGGACGAGTAATCTGGCTGACGTCTTTGAGGAGGATGTTCAGGTTTTGGGCTGAAGTTGGGGTCGAATAGTTCGCGCCCTGAGCCTGACATGTTCTGCATTCTTCGTGGGGCATCAAACGCACGATTTTCAGACTGACGGTTATCCATCGGTCGCGTGTCGTTATTCCTGTATCCGCCCCTTCCTCGGCCACGGCCGCGACCGGCGTATCCATCTACCTTGGGCGGGGTGACTGTGCCAGGTGATGAGGCTCCTGAGGATGGGTTTGATTCTCCGAAGATCTTGGCTCTGGCTTCTTCGTATCGGCGTTTCTTTTCTTCTCTGTCTTGCTTCTGCTTTGCTCGTATTTCTTCTGGGCTCATCGGCACCTCCCTCTTTGCTTCATTATCGTCATCTAATGAAAGGCTGGACATCCCTGCTGTAGCATCGCGCTTAGCGATGTTGGGCTTTCGGCTGAGCACTTTGACTTGTGGTTTGAACGGGGTTGTGAGAGGAACCCCCGAGTTTGAACCAGCCTCGATGTAGTGGAAGGTTTGTGGTGTGTCGCTGTTGTATCGGATCCTCATGTTAGTGACAGCGGGACATATTGCTGAGGTGGGAGGGCTTACGCAGATTCCCACAACTTGCGATTCTGCTCAGCGTGCTGCGCCAGGCGCTCCGATTTGGACAAAGGCACTGGCTGTGTTGGCTGTTCGGGTTCACTGGCCATCTTGTCTGCCTGAGCCTCCCAATCATCCTCCCAGGCGTCAGGGATCACTGCGGTATTCTTGCCCATGGCGAAGAGCTTTTTCTCGTGCCAGGACCAATCTTGCTTAGGTATTGTGTATATGTCAACGCCGTCGTCTTCGTCGGGGGAAAAGATGCTTGACAGTGTTGTTGGAGATCGTGAAGTTGAGCATGGAGTTGAGGTTCAGCCAACAATTACGGTTTGTTCAGTAGGGTTACTAGGTAGTTTGGAAAAGAAAGAATAGGACGGGCTGATTGCCGGTGGGGTTTTTTGGTTAAGTTAGGCCCAAAAGCTGAGCTGAGCTGGCTTGAAATGTATTCACGACGTCAGGCACCTGCACTCTTTTTGTTTAGGTGTTTCTACTCAAGGCCCTGAGTCTAGCATGTAGCTCAAATCAAAAAGAGGTACGAAGACAAACATAAAAAATAAATAGAAATTGTCTGTATATACATTTTATTAAACAAGTATCAAATCTCGGTTCTCTTCACAACTGTTTAGGTAGTGCTTGTGGATTTCACAGGGCGAGTGCGGGGTGGCTTGCCATCTTGGTGGGGTAATAACAGGCCTACCTAAGGCTGGGCTGGGCCGGTTTTGGCTGTTAACCTTGAAATGCCGTTGCTTTTTTGATCGAACTGTCATGTAGCCCGTCTATACGTAACACTGAAAACCAAGTTCTTGTCTTGTGACGATTTTCCCAAATACAAACCTATTTGGAACGTTTGTTAGAGGCCTTCCTATTTACCCTTAACTGGCATTGATCAGCCTTGATTTTGTGACCGAGATCCATTCTTGTCCATTAGATATCACCTATTGACCACTTCAATGGCTGGCGGATTACGTTCATCACCCATCCCTCAACAAGAGATGGCCGACCAAGCCGCCAACACAAGCGCGAAGAGAAATGCAGAAGAAACTCAGACATTGCGCTCAAAGCTAGTTGATCAGCATATCAGCATGCGTAAGCTTTTCGGCTCAAAGGATCGTTCGTTTTCCGGTGTAGTTATTGACGAGTTCTCTAGTAAACTATCCAGATCCCTTGAAGCCTCGAGCACCGCTTCAGGTTTACCCCCAAGGCATTACTCCAGAGATGGAGGCGAGGTGGCTTCAGATGTTGAAACAGAACAGTGTATGAGTTTCTGAATGCCTGCTCGAGGCGGATTAGTCTCCCACGGCGGTATGAACATATTGGGAAAGAAAAGTCCCTCTTTCAACCACTGATACTCAGTGTAACAATGTGTTATTCTACTCTTCCTTACAACATTAAACTATCTTTTCGTATTGAGCGACTTATTAATATCATTGCAACCATTCCTTGAGGCCCGATATGTTGCACACTTCCAATTATCTGGCCATTTGCACTTACGAGTCTTGTTGGTCTGAGTTGTATGATAATATGAGCACTTAATGATAATAGGATACGCCCTAGCAGGATAATCAGTTACGCCAGGCACACGACATATATCAGGGCTGAGCTCAAATATATCTACTAGTCAGTAGTTGACTGACTGAAGAGGTTGCGAAGAGTCTCTCAGGAGTGTTTCGTCATTTATATCCATATCTGACTTGCGCCTACAATACAGTAAAGTGAGCTTCTTGAAGGCAACTTGGTATATTTCAAGTGCCTTGCCGTTTTCATTGTCACCAAAAGTCGATGTGATACATACTGGTTGAGCTTCATGGCCATTCAGTTCACAATATCGTCGTTTATCATTCTCTGTTACGAGGATTTCAGTGATACACCAATCAATCGGATTTATTGCGAAAACTCTGATACGGTCGGTGACATGCCGCGTAAATGTGATCAGCTCGGCCTGGATATAATAAGCTGATATTATGGCAGTGTCCCTGGCATGAGGCGCCATGCATTTCAGCTTACGGGACTAGCGATGCTTCATTGTGAACCTCTGGCATGCCTTACTAGTTCATTCGAGGCTATGTTACTTTGTTTCTCTCCAAATGTCACTAGCAAGTCGATGTGTCTGGTTTGAGGTGTCACAATCGGAATATTGCCCAATAGGGCAGGGCATTGTAACACAACAGCCACATGGGAAGGTTGCAGCAAGAGCTGGAAGTCGATCAATCACCAAACCAGGATCAGGTTTGTGATGACTTAGTTGGTCGATACAATGATATAGATGAGAACACCAGAACTGGTGAAGTCTCAGTTACAAGTCAATCCTACCGCGGATGAGTTGAAGCATGCGATGCATCACAATTCCAGAGAAGCCATGGACAAGAACTAGGACCTATGTTTGCCTACCAGATTCCGATATTGGTTGGAAATGTATAATAGTTGATGGACGCGAATCTATGTCACTGAGGCAGGAGAATCAGGTCTCTTTTGATACACGAGTATGGACATCAGAATGAAACACGGCGCATATCATCCTGAGCTTAGAGAACAAGAAAGCTCAGACCTTTATATATAGTGCTGATAAACTCAACAAAGGGTATCCTAAATTTGTAATAAATTTATAACAAATTATTAAAAAGAATTTATGCTAAGTTATACTACCTACTATGTAGGATCGAGGTCTTGGATTTTCTTTCCTCCCCTGGACTGAGTGTACTTTGCTGTAGAATGGCACAGATGTAGTAGTCATGTATCTGAAACAATATTTCAATCAAGACATTCAGATGACTCGAGCAGCAGATCAAAAGTCAATACACCCTTGTTCGAGATAGTGGCAATAAAGTCATGTTGCAGTCGCTTACTTTGCTCCAAGCATGACTACCTCACAAACTGACCACATGCAAATGCTGGGACTCCGTATCCGTATTGTCGATTCACCAAAGATCCGGTGTAACGCACTGTAGGCAACCAGATTTACGACCAATGATTGATGCTGAGGCCGATGTTGATGCAGCGAGGCTGAAAAGCAGTGTGAACCAGAGTACACGGAGTCCATTTGTGCTATCGATCGGTTTCCTGGCAGGCCTGGGTGCTCTGGTTAGCTGGGCTAGAACCTGATGTATTGAGCAATCACAGAAAGGACCATACATGCCAGGGTACGGCTGGATCCTCTAGGCCTCACGGGACGAGGAAATCGCCCCGAGCCGAAAGGGGCCATACGCTTATGGGTTGCAAGGCTGTTATTCGTACTCTGTGAAGATGTACTGGAATACCTTGACCTATCACGAGATATTCATATTCTCTGGATCGGATGCAGGAGTGCTGGAGTTGAACGAGACCCTGTTAAGTTCTAGGCTTCCTGTGTTGTCCTGTGGTGGGAGCTAGGGTCAACTAGTAGGTAGAGATGTGTTGCTTCGAAATGCATGTTATTGGATTATTATGATCAAAACAAGATACCATAATGCTTCACCACCAAGACTCTACGAATCTCAGTGAGCTAGTCATTCTATTGAACCAGACACCGTATTATTCATAGTTAGCAAAGCGGTTAACAAAGCGAGATACCAGACTATCAGCCAAGCCAAGGCAGCACGCATCTTTCGCCAAGCCTTAGGTACCACCGGTTTGCTGATGTTGATGATATGTAATATAAGAGGACAAGGAGGAGCATGCAATCAGCAATGAAGAACTCTTGTTGAACCCCCGCCTGAAGTAAAAAAGCCCCACCAGTCTGTGAGTGAGTGGTTGGAAGTTTGTTTCCTGTCGTCTCAGAAGATGGGAATTGGGATTGCAGATTTGCAGAGGGATCATCTCCTCCACTTGCCGACCTATTGTTAGATAGGTAGTTAGGTAGCCCTTCTGGTGTAAGTCGCAGCTTGATTCGAAATACGCACTCGCACTGTGGAGTGTGTATTGTAATCTGTGGATACGCCTCAGTAGGGTGCGTATCATGATTCAGTTGAAACCCGAACAACCTCCCTTAGCCAAACCAACTAATTAACTGGTAGTTTTGCATCTTCTAGAAGACACCGCTGTTTTGTCAGCAGCCAGAAGGCAACTTACGGTATCATGCATGCCTGGATTCCCTGCCTTCACAGGTTGTTTGTTGTCACAGCCAAGTTCGACAATATTGGCGGCCGGGCCCCATCAGCTCGTTTCCAGCAGCGCTGATGTCATGGACATTTCTTAAGGCATCCACCTTCAGCTCTCTAGACCTATCTCCAATGCAGCCCTTGACTGCAAACGTATCTTTCAACACGTTATCGGTTTATCAAGAGGCGGGGTTATTTTCTCTACAAGAACTAAGAGCCCAAGAAGCCCGAACCTTTTGGCGGATGGCGCCGAGCCAACTTCAACAAACAGGTCAGTATCCAACTCAGTTCATCTGGTGGACGTTTGGGTCGTGAAGCCGAATACCGAAACACCAATGCATTCAGCCTCGCAGAGAAGACAGCAGAGCTCGTAACCGTAATACATAGTCTAACGTAAGTTGCTGCATTTCGGATTTGAGCCGTGAGTTCAAGTCCAGAATAGTAGGGTGATGTAAGCATTAAAGTACTCGACGTTGCCTCCGATGACATGAACCGTAATCAAGTACCTGAATAGAATCCCTAAGGTACCTAGGTAATCATGCAACCTCTCTCTCCATACAAGTATCTCAGAGCTCTACAGCATCTCTTAACGGCTATCAAGCCCCCTCAAGGGCTAAATTGTGTGCTTTTCGCTTGTCTGAATCTAGGTTTGAATACTCGAATCTCAAGTTGAAAAGAAAACACAAAGTTGCTGCGGCTTGTGAAGTACTCCAACCTCCCCTTCGTCTTGCGCACTGTACTAACTTCAACACCCCCAAAGCCCGCGCCAGGTCACCCACGCCCACATCACCTTTAACCTTGCCCCAAAAAAGACGTCTAATTATCATCTCCATCGCTTCTTCTGCTCGCGCCATCTCAATCTTTCCCCTCTCCCTCTTCTCAACAATAACCATCATATCTTCCGTCGGCTGCTCTTGAGTATCGTCTCTTATCACGACTTCATCCTACCATCGACCCGAGCAACGATCCTGGGGCCACCGACACCCAATCCGACAACGTTATACGATTCATCTCACGCAATATACCCGCTTCGCCCCTCTCTTCCTCCGCCGCAACAATTCGGCCCTGTTTTTAAGCCGCGGCAGCTTTAATAAAGCTCCTCGCCGCCAGCCATGACGGGCACTGAGACTTCCAATGCGGGAGGAGGTTTTGATCTGCTACGAAGAGCAACTCAAGCAATGATGTCTAGGTTCGTCAATAATGTTTTTTCTCTGTCGTGTTTTGAAGCTACTATTTTGCCTTGTTTTCTCTTCTGCGTGTTCTTGCTATAACCATTTGGTGCCCTTTTCATCATGTTTTTCTTTTTGGCGGGGGGGGACTCGAGATCGATATCCTGGTGCTGCCATGCCCCTCACCAGGCGTAGTCAGTCGGTGGTGGCGACGATGACGGACTTGCAGCACTCGAGCTCAGTAGCTTCAGCGACGCCTGTTCCAGCCAGAGCTGCCATTGGATCCCTTGTTCTACGACACCGCCTGCCGGGAACCCACATCACCTCACATGGAAATGGAACCGCTGCTGGCATCTACAGCTGTTCACGCAGGACCGCATCCCACTATTGGGCCTTGTTGGGCTCTATCTAGTGGACAGCTGCCCTGTAACCGCACTGCAGGACGACGTCTCGCCTTTGCGTTGGCTGCCAGAGCATGGATTCCCCATAACAGCGGTCGAGCCTTTGCCCTGATATTGTTGGCAAAGCCTGGCAACCATGGGAAACACGACATTACAACAGAAGCTTGCAAACACCAATCAGGGTGTTGCCGTTCACTGGACTTCAGTTCGCCATCGCAGTGGAACCGAGCATTCGCCGCCGCTGTCTCAAAATACGTTTTGCAGCCTTTAAAATTGGATACAGCCTGTTCTAAACGAACAAAAAAGCACATGAGCAATCAATGGCTACTGTGGCATTCGCATTCCCCTGCAAGCGACAGGTCGTCTTTTAGTTACTTTGTTTTTTCCTTTTCCTCACAAGGGCCATGTTGCAACTTTGCAAGCTCAGGTCTGACTCGCTCCAACTGTGATTGGGCCCAATCCAAAGGCTGCCCAGCCTCGGAGTCAGTCCCTGCGTTCGGCCCCGCTATCAGCTTCAGTTTTCCACGTTTTGCTCCCAGCCCAAATAATTTTGGGCAAAAGTCCTCAGAAAAAAGGAAGCTTTTTGGACAAGCCCGACCCCGGCCGCAAAGCGAAGTTTTACTCGCGGGAAAGAATTGATCTCGTCATCGTCCTTTCTTCCACTCTGATTCAAGTATTGGGCCTCTCCACTTGGTCCCTTCACTGTTCGTCTTACACGGCCGCTCTCGGCAAGGCCTCGCATCCCATCCTAATCTCTACTGCTCGCTCGCTGGTCCTGGCGCTTCTTCCGCATCCACACCGGCGCGAACACACCACTGGCTACCAAGAGTCCCAAAGACCTTCCCATTCCGTGTTTTTCTCGTCATAGTCGCATCGTCAGAGTCCACCTCTTCTGTTGTTGCCCATCTCATCTCCTCTGGTGGTCCCTCTCGGCCTTTGCCCTGTTTACCCTCTAGTTAGTTGACGCGCTTGGCAACCGTCATGAACTAGTGTTCCCACTTTGTTTTTTCCCCCGCGCTGCTGCTTCGGCGTAGAAGCATTTATTCACTCACTGGAAATCTTTTACAAAAATGCATGGGGTTATTAACAAAAACGTCAGGTCTGCGGCGGACGAGGATGGCGCCGATCACATTGGTCTCGAAACTCCTCGATCCGGTGTAGCTACACCTCAACCCGATCTACAGGACAAACGCTTACCAGGAATCATGAGCTACTTCGGCCAGGTTCGTAAATACCCTTCTACGCCTTCGTCAGATCCCAATTCGTCACAGAGTGATACCACTCTAGACCGAATTCCAGTTGTGCCCACTCCACCAGCCGGCCTGCAGTTGCAGGCACACACCGAAGGCTCTCCTCGCCGCTGTGAGTCCTCGGCTTTGGATCGTTCGCTTCTTCAACATGAGCGTCCTGGTTCTATGCCAAGTACCACTCAGCGGGATGAGCATAACCTTTCGGACCCCTACCCAACCCCACCCACTTCTCAGCCCTCGTCTTCGGGGGGTTCTATCTCCCAGGACATGATTTCTGCAGACTCAGGGGTGCATGGCAGGGCTGCCGTCGAGCAAAAGTCTCTTACACAGCAGTCACAATTCAAGAAACCCACAGCCTCACCATTCACCACCACCCACTTTCAAACTTCCAATGACCCATCACTACCTGAACTTGACTCCTCCAAAAACGCAGCACCTGCCAAAGACTCCATTATTCCTTCGCATCCTGAGCCCAGTACAAGTTCAGGCGCCTGTTCAGCTGCTGCCCCCGGCAAGTGGCATTTTCTTAATGGACTCAAGGAGCTAACTCGTATGACGTTCAAGAGCGGCAACTCGACTCCTACTCGAGCAATGTCGGCTGCTCGACCATCTGGCTCCGATAGAGCCCCATCCTCCGGGAGGACCAGTCATGACGGTGCTGAAGTCAGCGGTACTCAGACTCCAAGGAGTTCTGCCGGTGCCCAGGCGCCTGCCGCCAAGGGAAAGCTAACAATCAAGATCAATGAAGCTCGTGGGCTTAGGAAGAGTCGGGACCCCTATGTTGTTGTGGTGTTCCAGCGTAGTGAGCTCATTTCTGGGGGTCCCCACCACATCGATGAGGACGATAACCTTAGTGTTGAGCCACCTCCGGCAGCTGGTGGTATCCCTATCCAGCGATCAGGCAGTGACTCTGGGCGTCCCTTAGCTATTCCCATGAGGAGCAGGCAAAGTAGCAACACTAGCATTAATGACTACGGCTCGTTCCGTAACCGATCCGGAGGTCAGCTTACGTTCACCAACCCAAAATGGGATGCCGAAGCCGAGTTGTAAGTTGCCTTCTGTGGACAGTTGTGTCTGAGATTCATTACTGACAATGAGTAGCGATGTTGTGGACTATGATATGCTGGTTGACGTCTCGGTTTATGATCATGGGGCAACGGGCGATGAATTTCTCGGCCATGTTGATTTTCAGGCCAGCAAGGATCCCGGTGCCACCGTCCAGGGCTGGTTCCAGCTGCAGGGCCATGCTGATACCATGGCAGAAAATGCGCCAACCGGTGAGATCTTCCTCGAGGCCATCTATCACAGAGCAGAGAGGAAGCAATTTGGCCCCACTGATTTCGAGATTCTGAAACTCATCGGCAAGGGCACTTTCGGTCAGGTGTATCAAGTGCGAAAAAAGGATACTCAGCGCATTTACGCCATGAAGGTTCTGCAGAAGAAGGTTATTGTGCAAAAGAAGGAAGTTGCCCATACCGTGGGAGAACGAAATATCCTGGTTCGGACCGCCATGTCCGACTCCCCTTTCATCGTTGGTCTCAAGTTCTCTTTCCAGACACCATCAGAACTTTATCTCGTTACTGATTATATGTCTGGAGGTGAGCTGTTTTGGCATCTACAGAAAGAGGGTCGGTTTGACGAGAAGCGAGCCAAGTTCTACATCGCCGAACTGATCTTGGCCATTCAGCACCTTCATCATAATGACATTGTATACCGGGATCTGAAGCCAGAGAATATCCTCTTGGATGCTAACGGACATATCGCCCTTTGTGACTTTGGTCTTTCCAAGGCCAATCTCACAAAGAATGACACTACCAACACTTTCTGTGGAACAACCGAATACCTTGCGCCCGAGGTTTTGCTCGACGAATCTGGCTACACCAAGATGGTGGACTTCTGGTCGCTTGGAGTTTTGGTCTTTGAGATGTGCTGCGGCTGGAGCCCATTCTATGCCGAAGATACGCAGCAAATGTATAAGAATATTGCTTTCGGTAAGGTGAGGTTTCCTCGAGATACCCTTTCTCAGGAAGGAAGGAATTTCGTCAAGGGACTCCTCAATAGAAACCCCAAGCACAGACTAGGTGCGACCGACGACGCCGAGGAGCTGAAGAGACACCCCTTCTTTGCCGATGTCGATTGGACTCTTCTCTCCAAGAAGCTTATCACTCCACCTTTCAAACCCAAATTGAAGTCTGAGACAGACGTCTCATACTTCGATCCCGAATTCACGACCGCGCTGGATCAGAATGGCTCTCTGAACGAACGTGCGGCTGCGTTGGCCCGAGGCTATGCCGCTTCAACTCCTCTTTCTCCTTCCGTTCAGGCCAACTTCCAAGGCTTCACGTTTGTTGACGAAAGCGCATTAGATGATCATATGCGAGACAGAGCAGGACTCGTTGATGAAGATATGGATGATGGACAACATCACAGGAACCGCGATAACGACGATTGGGACAATCTCGACGACATTGACCTCAGGAAGGCAAACCGGATGAGCGGGATCGTGAAGACTGGACATGATGAGCACATGGTGGGTGGTTCTCACTTTGACGTATAATGCGGCAACTCCTTTTTCCTGCGCAGTATTATTCAAGTCAAGCTCCACAGCGTTTTCAACCATGCTGGAGATTGATCTATCTCTACGTGTCATACAGAAAGCAAAAAGTAATATTTCGCAAAACTAAAAAACCTCACCTCTTCTTCCCCAGTTTTGCATGTGGGTTACGGATGTCTAATTTGTGGAATTATATGCATCGAGGTCGGCTGGTATTGCATTGCATTGATCGTCGAACTGTACGGGACTGATGGCGTTTTATGGTTGTGGAAAATCAGAAGAGAGAGAGAGAGAACGAGAGACAAAAAATAGGAGGATCAAGTCTATTTTGGTCGATCCCTCCGTTGAGTGTCATTTTCCATTAGTTTGATTCCCAGCAGTAACAGGAGGGCCATATGAGTAATGAAATGAGAATGCCACAGCTATTCTTGAAAGGTCCCGGAAGGGAAATCGGCCTCTCTCGTTTTATGCTAGACTTGTCCTTGTTGGACAGAGTAGCCTATGGAAGAGTTCGAGCCTAGCCTACCAGCCTTGTCCGTCTTGTGGCTGTTGATGACGTTGATTGCCACCTGACGTCGATAGCCAGCCAAGAGCTAGTGCAGCATAGCTTGAAGGATGAACGATGCATGGTATTGGATTATATGACAGTATTCGAGGGAAGTTGAAGTCATGGATACATCATCGATGTTAGAAGGCATGCAAGGCTGATCCGCATATGCCCTGTAAAGTTTGGTCGGCAGCTTGAGACGTGGAGGCACGGTTAATCAGATATCACCAGGAGATAGACATATGGTTTCGAGGTTCTACACGCAATGAAATACATGTAGAGTCACTTGGAAATGATCGTTAAAACAAGTTGCTTGTGCTTCATTTGACGTTCGCATTTCGCAATTAGCTCCTACGAGCACCCGGAAAAAAGGGCTGGTTTTTAGGAAAATGTACACAGGATTCTTGTCCCCAATCCACTTGCTTCTGCTTCTTCTTTCTCCTTGATCGCTCCGGCTCTTCTTCTCGGGGGTGAGTTGGTGTCAACCGCCCTCTTTTTGCTATCCCATGAAACGGCGGCGCTAGGCGGTGAGAAATGACACCCAAAAATGTGCCGCGGTCAGGGTAGCCTATGTGCTCCCAAAGGTTAAGAAAAACTCTTTAGTGATGAGGCTCATCCTCCTCCTCGGCCTCAAGCCAGTCAGCAACCTCGGGGGTGCCAGACTGGGCAGAGCTGTCCTGGCCCTCAATCTCAACGGCCATGCTCTCGTACTCCTTCAGGTTGCTGGCGAGGTCGGTCTCCTCTGGGGAGGCAGGTGTCTTGGGGACGTTGAAGGTCTGGACGTTGCCCTCAGCATCGGACTCCTTGACGGCGGGGATCTTGTAGGCCTTGAGTTCCTTGAGATAAAGCTCTTGGACGAAGTCGGCTGTGAAGGTATGATGTCAGCAAGTGGACGTTGACTCGGTTAGATAATATTTGAGCTGATCGGATAACGGCTTGTCAATTTTGATGAGAGACGCTAGATTATATAGCCAAACGGAGTTCGAACCCAGATTGATATCTAGCATTTGATGCTGGTTGTTTGGCGACGTGGGAGCTTAGGTGGAGTGCAGATTCGGGTATAGAGGGACAGATCCGACCGGGAGAAATATGTGGTCGAGACGATGTATTCGCGACACCCAAAGGCATTGACCGAGAAGCATAGAGCAGCGTAGATAGAGTCTTACCTTTCCGGGAGACAGTGGGAGCAATGAAGCCCCTCACCTGAACGGCATTGGGTCTGGCGACACGAGAAACAGCCGCAACAGCGGAGCGAGCGCGCTATAAAACCATGAGTATTTTTTATCGCCTGGGCCTGACTTTTGTTCTCACCGAAGCCCTGGAGAGTTGAATGAGCATTTTGAATGGCTGGTGGTGGCTCAATTGAAGGAGTAACTCCGGGGGAGATGGGCGAGGGCGAGGTCGATTGAGGGTTTTGGGGGGAAAAATCGTGAGAGGTTGCACTGGACCATGCGTCTTCGCCCCCGGTTAGAGCGGTTCGGCCTTGCTATCGTGGAGTTGGTGCCTCAGGTTGGACGGCTACCGGAGCATCACGGATCGATCGCACGTGACCTTTGAGAGGTGTGATTGGTCAGGATCGATCGATATATGTAGGAATGTTGCATTGGACCCTCTCTGCTTGGGCTATTCACTTACACGGAGATCAGTCAGTATGGATTTCAATGCTCAATTTGTTCGAGAGAAAATATCCAACTACTGTAGACTGATAGAGTCTTCCTTATTGCCACACTCCTTTTAGTGCTTTCCAGTTGTCGCAATTTGCTATATCGAATGTCAATGAAGCAACAGCTTCCAAAGTTCATGCTAACCAGGTTGTACAACACAACGGCCAACAAAAATGTTTGATCGAATCCTTTCATCAAGTTTATTGATATGGTATATGCTAAGTTAAAAAAGGATTTGCAAGGTAACAAAGAAGAAAAAGAAGAGAACGATTGACATCGCAGTTAAAACATCTTGCCAATTATCAGATCCAGTCCCGATGGGCCGGGAATCTATGGTATCACAATTCACGAGTCCCGATATCCGAAACACCTTCTAAGCATTACAGTTCCGCCATATTACTCCTCTTTTAGGTTGACGAGGCAGTTTATCGTGCCTCCTCCTGAGACATCTGTGGAGAGATTTGCTTGGCACGAGAAGCGTTCCTTCGCCTCTCACCAATAAAGGCAGCAGCCAGGTAGAGGATGGCAGCGATACCGGCAATGACGGAGTATGCGATGATGTACGCAGTGGATGAGTTGGCAAGCTGAAGACCAAGGCCTCCGTTGACGATACCGACGATGATGAGGGCTCGACCGAACCAGATGTGAACATGGCTGACAACTCCTCGCTTGCGGTGGCTCACAAAGTACCGATGGTGCATGTAACCAAGGACAGGCTGCAGGGTCATCAAGGCACAAACAGCAGTGCCCATTCTTGTGTGAGCTTGTTTTCCCCACTAAAGTCTCACGTTAGTACTGATAGACTAGGCAGGTTCCGATGCGAGCGCATCTAAGGGGAGAACTTACGTAGCCACCATCACGAGCATATACGTATCCGAGGCCAAATCCAGCCCACATGAGGAGCAACATGACAACTTGCCAGCCCGCGTGGATGAGCCACTTTCCAAGCATGGGCATAAGGATTGCACCCAGAGGGTATCCAGCAATGAAGACAATCGACATGATGATACCGTGAGCTCGCAGAACAGTCTTGCTGGGGCTACTGCCACTTCCGTTTTGTGTCACGGCACCGCCAGAGCTAGAACCAGAGTTCGAGTTGGTATTTTCGTTGCTGTCGGTGAATGGGTTGCTGTCAGAACTCATTGTGGCTTTGGCAAGGTCAACACTGAAATCCACGTGCTTGTCGTGCTCAGAGATGCGCTCCTCCATGCTTGTCGAATCCAGGGAATTTCCATTCTTCCAAGCTGCAATCCACGAGCTCGTGCCCTTGAGACTAAGGTCAATACAGTTGTTGCATCGAATGTTGGCGATCATCTGCTTGTCCTTGATTCCAGAACCGTCGAGGAGCTCGAGTCCGCTTCGCTTGGCGTAATTGGGCATTACCTCTCCGACACCTCTCCTTGGGCTCAGGGTGACATTGCCGTTGCCGTCTTGGTAAATGATGAACATGTCAGATCCGGCCATTTGGGATCCAGTGCCTAGTCCTGCCCATTGTGCGGATGTTGGTGCCTTGATCTGGAAGTAAAAGCTACCAGACCCCGCGCTGGCAGAAGCCTCAGGGACACCCCATCGGAAACAGACGTCGCCATTGTCCGGGCAGAAAGAAGATGTGATAGCAAGTGCCTTGCCTGCAGCAGCTGAAGGAGAATTGTTAGCTGGGAGGGGGAAGTGGTACGTTGAATTGATGGGAGCGACTTACAAAGCACCGCTAATGAGCTGCTGAAAGTTGACTTCATGGTATTATTGGGAACGAAACAGAGACAGATGAAGTGAAGAGATACGGGAATTATTTTTTACTGCGAGTGAGGAGATTGGAATCTTACATGAGGGGGACAACGAAAGTACTAAATATAATAAGCACAAAGAAAGCACAACTGGACATAGACCAGGGGGGCATTCCTATATTGAGACGATCGTCCACTGGGCCACAGACGCTACGCGCCGCAAAGCCACGGCAGTGCTGTACGATACAAAGCCTGGTGCCGGTGGTACGGGACGATTTACGAAGTTGAATACTACCAAAGGGACCCGGCAGATGACATTACAAGTGCCGCCATTAGTTAGTCTGGCTCAAACGGACGGGTCCCTGGAGAAAGTTGAGCCCAAGGCTTGGACCCAAGGGAAGGGATCGATGTTGTCGTCAGCTCTTTTGTCGGATCCGCCCTGGTTAATCCTTGTCAAGCATGAGATGAAATGTGTTAAGGTTTCACTCACACTGCCACGGCCCAGACAGCTAGCTATCCATGCTATCAAAGCTATCAACGCCAGTGAATAGGCTTAAGCCATCCCGGGATTCAGTGCCGAGATGGCGGCAGTTTGCCCGCTTAAGGGCTTCAGGGCACAGTCACGACGCCCGAACGGTTGGTCAACGGCACATTTCTTTCAGTCGAGGCATCATGATGCTGAAACTGTCGCCGTTGGAAAGGTGTGATGGTGTGCCTTCGTATCCGTTATCCGAACAAGAGGGAGCGGCCTCCTCTGTTTCAGTAGACGTCTTGGTGTTCGAATACGCGCTCAACTGCTCCATATGATGGATGCCCAGACTGCCAGAGCATACGACAACTGAGAAAGGCTGTGGTGACAGGCTTGCAAGGACTGAAAGAAATGGCGGCCGACCCTTACAGGGATGTCTCCGCAGGTGAGATCTGGGCTGTCGGGAAGACTCTCTTCTTTGACTAGGCGCCCAAATCTGGTAAAAGATCTGATTATGCTTCTCTCTCGGGTAGATTGGTCAATCCGATACCAGACAGTCATCCCACGGCAGCAGCGTTATCCCACGTGGAGCACCGAGGTTTCAACGTGTGAATAGCCTCAGAGGTCCACATCAGAGTATACCATTGGCAGTATCGTATTTTGTTTGATGAGGTCGCATAAACAATTCTCTCCCACTCTCCGGGCTCCCCCAGGCCCACGGCTACCCCCAAAACGGGTACTATAACCAAGCTCCAGCCCAATGACATTGTCCCAATTTGCAACACGACGCTACAAGGGTCTGGCCTCGTGAATACGTCAGCTCTTCCATACCAAAGCTTATTCTCTACTCTAATTCTCTCCGAATAAGGCGAAGCACCTTAATCTTTTCGTCCTAGGATTTGATTATTCGATCATCACAAAGCAGCTTCGTCGATGATGCCAAGAAACGCAGATGCACTCTGATAGTATCGTCTCAGTCGATGGCATGCAATAGTCTACGCCTCGTACATGATGATTGCGCGGCCCTCCATTTCATGTTGCAGATGCACTCTAACATTTATTCATGCAGTCTGTCACTGTTATCGTGGTCTGATGTGATGATCGCGCCGATCTCTAGTCTGTGACGCATTCGTTTAAGCTTGTAGATGTTGGCGTTGTAGTTGTCACCCATCGATGCAACTTATTCCTCCGATAACTGAGCCTTTGAAGCCGCTATCTATTCTTACGTTTAGTTGACGCGTACATATGGCACCAATAGCCAAGATACTCAGACAAACCTGCTTAAGTGTCTCAATCTCACCCTTCTGCATGTTATTCCCGATTATGTGAGATCAAGTCCTTCCGTCGTTGGTTTCTCCATCTCTTTGACTGACAGACAACCTAGTCGTCACAACAACCGCATTACTCGTCCAAGTACGAAGCCGCAGTCATGCTCTTACAACCCAACAAATACCAGCCTGTCAGCTCAGCCCCGGGCTAATCATAGGCTTCATAGCCCCAATCCATTATTTGTCACTTGCCCCGGCTGTTTGCACGTTTCGGGTAGTTATTAACACCCTAGTCGATGGCAAGGATCAAGTATAGAAACGAAAACTCTATTGAAATCTACAACCAGACTGACTTAACAGATACTACAGTACCTTCCAACGGCCATTGAGGCCCTGTCTTTGTTGTACATAGCTGCTCTTTTTGTACCTAGGTAACGCAAAAAAACCGCACCAATCAATAAGCAAGCATCTTGAATAACACCAATACCTCTCAATCAAGTCCCGTTCCCCTGTCTCTATATTCTATAGTCGCAATTTCTCTCCTCCCGACAGTATTCAATCAGGTGTGGGCAAAAGCGGCGAATCGATCTTCATTCAACAGGCTTGAAGATGCAACAAAACTAAATCCTCCAAAGAGCTCATCCTTAGGAAGACTTCGAGGCCAGGCCTCCTTGTTTGGTAGCACCGGGCTGATCGACAGCTCCGTAAACTCTGGGGCGAAGTTCTCGGCTAGCTCAGGGTCCGTGATCATGGGCTGAATTGGTGGTTCAAGCTCGCGCTCCGCCAACTTCTTCCAGTCAATCTTGCGGAAGAACCGGTGTTTCTTCATCGTCGTCAGATCCTTGGGCATCGCAGCACCGAGACGCTTGCTGGGGTCCTTGCGAAGAAGTCGGGTGAGTAGGTCTTTGGCATCAGGGCTCAGGAAATAAGGAAGAACCAGCTTCTGCTTGACAATGTTGTCTTGGATCTTGGCGTGATTTTGGCCACGGAAAGGCGGATTTCCAGTCATCAGGTCGTATCCGAGGGCTCCAAACGACCACCAGTCGACTGCCTTTCCATACTTCTTTCCAAGGACCACCTCGGGCGCCATGTACTCGACAGTTCCCAGCATCGAGTTGCAGCTCTCATTCTGGTCGACCGAGACCTTGGAAAGGCCAAAGTCAGTCAGGAGGAGATGGCCTTCAGCGTCCAAAAGGCAGTTTTCCGGCTTGAGATCGCGGTAGACCACGCCGAGATCGTTGTGCAGGTGAGAAATGGCTAGAAGCATCTCCGCCATGTAGAATGCTGCCACGTCCTCCGAGAACATCTTTTCGGTGTTTAGATGGGTGAAGAGCTCACCGCCCTGTCCGTATTCAAGAATGAGGTATAGTTGCTCTTGGTCTTGGAAGGCATAGAACAGCTTGACAACAAATGGATGTCTGTTGACGGACTCAAGAATTTGCCGCTCAGTCTTGGTCTGCTCAACGAGCTTCTTGTGGACGACAAGCGAGGCCTTTTTGAACTGCTTCTGGGCGTAGAGTCTCCCGGTCGCGCGTTGCTTGACGAGCAATACAGTACCATAGGTACCCTTGCCGAGACATCGCAGCTGTTCAAAGTCCTCCGACGTCATCTTACGGTTTGGCACAAGGCCGCCCTCTAGGGTTTCGAGATATCCACTACGCTCTCGAACACTCTCGCTAGCAAAATCGTGCTCGAGGTTAACCTCGTAACTAATAGAGCTGTCTGAAATCTCGCTACCAGCCTCGCTGCGAACATCCTCTCGACTGTGCGTACGACTGATCATTTGCTTTCGAAACTCGAGTGCCAGACCCTGTTGACTTCCAGCACGACTCATGGAGTGGCATGGCGACCCTCCATCAAGGCTCAGAGGCTCCATCTGCATTCGCAGTTTGGCGATGCCCGACATGGCGGGCGAGGGATGGGCGCGGAAGGTAGGGCTGCAGTTGGCGCTCACGACATCATTGACCATGAGGTTTCGGCCGGGGGTCTTGCGCCGCGGAGTAGGGGCCTCGCTGTGTCCGTGGTCCGAGTCTTCGTCGCCCGAAGTTGCAGGTGTAGTCTGGAATCCGCGGACGGTAGTGACCGCGGCAGGTGCCTGGCTTATCATGGTGGGCGGTATTTAAAGTGGTGGTCCGGGACTCGGGGGGTTAGGAACGGCACGGTTATGCTCTGATAACTACACCACGCAGCACTCGCCCAGCTCAGACAGTGGACAAGTGCAGATAGTCGTGCTATTCAAGGGAATCCTCGTCGGCGCTCCGGATCTGCGCGGGGCTGTGATTCGAAGTGACGCTCGATTTCGTAGAAGTTCGCGACACGCATCTGGTATCGGAAGAAAGAAGTACGGAAGACGGCAGACTTTGCTATATGCATTTGGCAGCGGATAGGTGTCGTGGGTAGGTATGTTGAACTGGTGTTCACCAAGTGTGGTGTGAAGAGAAAGAAGAGAGAGAGAATGGACAAAGAACGGGTCCTTTTGGTATTAAATCAAGTAAGAAAAATAAAACAAGGATTTTTTTGGTGGCCATAGCCCTGCGCCCATTTCAGCAGGTGCGCTGTAACTCCGCGATTTTTTAGGCTTTTTTTAGGCGGACTTGCATTGGCTGTATGTATGATTCAGCCCGCCTTGGGTATCGGCTGGGCCGTCGCCTACCTTCAATCAAACCCCTTGTCCTCATAGCCCGAGCGTCCACTTGGAACGCGGGGAGGAATTAAAGGCTCCGGGGGGGGGGGGGGCCTAGTCAGGCGGGTGTTACAACCAAACTACCCCTCAAGATTGGATGTTATTCATAAAAATAACCCCTGGGACTAGCACAACTCACGAAAGTTCAGGGGATGCACTGCATCAGGATTGTCGAACCTGGCTGCTGGAATCCGGAATTCGCTAGCTCGAGCCAAAACATAAGACATGGACCGTGAGACTTGAGGAGTGTGTGAAAACATTGTCGCATTAACCATAATTATATTTGCCCCTTTTTGTTTAATTTGTGGCTGTTGAGCAAGGACTTTTGTTGCTCCCTTGACTGACCCCGTGCTGTCGACAGGAGGCAGCGAACAAACATTGAACGTGACACTTTCTCATTCGTCTGCCAGATTCTGTTCTTCATGTCAGCATCAGAAGGCATGAAAGATGACCGAGAGTCTTGAGACACTGACATCACCAATAACCTGACAGGCCTGGGCCATGCGGTGATCGATCCCGCAAAAAGCGAATGGTTGGTCTTCGTTAAACTTTTAGCTTGTGATTCTTTGAGGGCCCAGTTAAACGTTGGATGCTAACCCAGCCAAGACCAGGGTGAAAAATATAGGACTGGTTAACTACTACTAAGGCATGCATATTAGTACTAACTAACCTCACCTCCCAACTATCTTTAAAGGCAGAATAACATGAAGGGTAAAATGAAACATGTGTTGTAAGAATTACATAGTATGGGCTTTTTTATTTATTCATTTATTATTCTTTCAATAGTGATCTACTTCTTCTTTTCCTTTTAAATACATTTTTAGCATAAATAACTCCCAGGTCGACGTAGGCCCAGGCCATCGTCGGCCACCGGCGAAATAAACTGCCGACACAATATGCGGCTCCAAGGTCGCGTCTGGGAAATTTCACATCTACCAATCCAAGATCGCGCGCAAAACAGCAAGGCTGCAACCAAAGCATCAGCCCTTGATTGACAAAATTCGACACCTTCAATTCCAGCTGTTAAAAAGAAAAAGAAAAAACTCATATACAACGACAACCATCATCAAACTCTTCACTGCTCGTGCATAAGCAAAGCTATCATCTACCTGCGTTTGGCCATCTCCAGCCAAGATGATGCACCCATCGCGGCAGGCGTACGTCGAGGATGCCGAGCCTCAAGGAATCGCACTGGAAGATGTCCCCGATGACCATGACTACGATATTCCAATGGGCGGAACAGGTGTTCCATCTGAAAAGGCTTCAGCAATCCTCAGCCAATTCAATCGCAAGCGCCTAGCAGCAACGATAGCAGTCCCTACCGATGATACTCGAGTCCGCGCAAAGCTTCGGGAGATGGGAGAACCAGTCACTCTATTCGGAGAGGCACTTGTTGATCGTCGGGATCGATTACGGGAGCTTCTTACCATCCAGGCAGAGATGACAGGCTTGGAAAATGGTGATATTACGATGGAGGACGCTGGAGACCAGGATCAAGAGGAGGAGCAGGAGGAGGAGTTCTACTCAAGAGGTGGGCCTGAACTTCTACAGGCGCGGCTAAAGCTTGCTGAATACTCTCTGCCGCGAGCCAAGAAGAGGGTCGAATTTCAGAAAGCCGAATCTACGATTCCTCTACGCACCCAAGTCAAGTTTCGTAAACAAGTCAAGGAGAGATTACAAGCATTCGAACTCCAGGGCAGTCAGACGGTTGGCGAACGTCATGTCAGCATGACTCGCATATCTCCCAACGGCGAGTTGGTCGCTGTAGGCAACTGGGGTGGGCAAGTCAAGCTGGTCGAAATACCAAGCTTGAACCAAAAGACAACCTTCCGCGGCCACACCAACAAGATTAGCGGCTTGTCTTGGTTTCCCGGATCTACCCTGCCAGAACACAACGTTTCGCCCGACGCCGTCAACCTTGCCTCAGGCGGTGCCGAGGGCTCGATTCATTTATGGTCTCTGAACCAAGATACTCCCCTGTCCACACTCGAAGGACATTCACAGCGAGTATGTCGTATCGAGTTCCATCCCTCTGGACGTTATCTGGCCTCTGCTTCTGAGGATACTTCGTGGCGTCTCTGGGATGTCGAAACAACCGCAGAGGTTCTTCTTCAAGAAGGTCACTCAAGAGGTGTCTACGCTGTTAGTTTCAACACTGACGGATCCTTACTCGCAAGTGCTGGTCTGGACAGCATCGGTAGAATCTGGGACTTACGTTCCGGACGTACCGTCATGATCCTGGATGGACATCTTGACGGACACATAAAACCCATCCATGCGCTGGACTGGAGCTCTGATGGACACAGGGTACTGTCTGGCTCAGCTGATGGCTGGATCAAGTGTTGGGATGTTCGAAAGGTGCAAAGGACAGGCGGTATCGGTGCGCACACCAGTGCCGTCTCTGATATGCGTTGGTTCAAAGGTCTCGACGACCCCCTCACTGGTGTTCCACCTGGTGTTGATGATAAGGGTGCACAGCTACCTAAAAAGTCGGGCACCTTCTTCATATCAAGCGGTTTTGATAGAAATGTCAAGATCTTCTCGGCAGACGACTGGACACTGGTGCAAACGCTCAGCGGCCATACAGGCCCAGTTGCCAGCGTCGACTATAGCAGGGACGGCAAGTGGATTGTCAGTGGAGGCCATGATCGCACAGTCAAACTATGGGGTCGCAATGATGGCGAGGGAGTCTAACGTCAGGGCATTGCTGACGAAGAATAGATCTGGGTAGAATAAGACAAACAAAAGCTACTGTGAGATACCCCAAAAATTCATAATAATAGGTAGCCAGAATAAATAAAAACCGAAGAATGACCAGGCAAGCAAGCACCAACAGTCCAACAATCATCCAAAGCGGGCCTTTTCCTATTCATCCAAAGTGGGGAGTTTCTATTGTTTCATCCGTTGAGTTGGGTGTTACTATCACCCATTGGAGGATCATATGTCCACCCTCCTGTGCTGTGATTAGATAACGCTACCCGAATTCGGCTCTAGTTTGTTGCCCCTGCTGTCAAACGCCAACTTCCTTTAGATCAGGTTCCTTGCAGTGCCGGCTAACTTGGACTTCGCATCACTTTCAACTTCGCATCTACGTGCGTTAATCATTGGCACCCCTTTCTCAGACCCACGCAACCCTCTCCTAGGAGCCATTTCCTTATCAGCGCTACAAGTATCGTTATCCTGATTCAAGACCACTGGCCATGGCGAGTATCGATCGCTACAGGCCTCCCAGGGAAGGGTATCAACCCCCAACCCTACCTGCAAACCCTCGACCTGAGCGCGATTCGAGATCACGATCTCCCCGGCGTCGCGATACCGTTCCTCCAGCAGTTCCAACTCCTCCGCAGCACTCAACACGAACATCCCCCCCCCGACCACAAGCCCGACAACCCCAAGAATCACCAGCCCGATCCGGTGCGCAAACTCCAGTAGCTGTTCTTAACCAATGGAACTTTACGTCAGACGAAGTGCGAAGTACACCTAGCATAGTCGAGGGTCTTTCGCCGGCGGAAGAGAGGATGCGCAGGGCCAAGGGCGTCAACTTCATCTACCAGGCGGGCGTCATGTTGGATCTCCCTCAGATTACGCTATGGGTAGCTGGAGTATTCTTTCATCGGTTCTTCATGCGCTGCCATATGGTCCAAGAAAAGGGTGGAATTCATCATTACGTGAGTTCTCCCCACCTGATCTTACAATTTCAATGTCTCCCTGGAGCAGTGAAAGCCTGTTCATGACTGAGCAGCATGCAATTCTTTTCTATATGCTAACTTCCACAATCAAGAACATCGCAGCAACGGCCCTCTTTCTAGCCAATAAGACTGAAGAGAACTGCCGCAAGACAAAGGATATCATTATCGCCGTAGCCAAAGTTGCACAAAAGAACGCGAAGCTCGTTATTGATGAGCAGAGCAAAGAGTACTGGCGATGGCGAGACAGTATTCTCACATACGAAGAGGTCATGCTAGAGCAACTCACTTTCGATCTGATGGTGGACAACCCCTACCACCACTTATTTAAGTTGCTCGATCAGCTTGGAATAGTGCATAACAAGAATCTGCGGCAAGCGGCTTGGGCTTTCTGCAATGATGCTTGCCTTACATCGATCCCTCTGTTGATAGGACCTCGAGATGTTGCCATCAGCGCCATCTTCTTTGCGAGCATATATGCGAACCAACAAATTGAAGACATCAATGGCGAGCCCTGGTGGAAGCTCCTCAAGGGCGACGAGGTCCTTTGTTCTCATGCTATCGAGGTGATGCGCCAGTTTTACACGGAGAATCCGCTTAGAAAGCAGAACCCGTCGCTGCCATCACCAGCATTCCATCTCCAGAACACCAGAAAACGCGGTGATACTCTATTGAGCCAACCAGACACGTTGTCGTCAACGACCGGTACCCCCTTGGAAGTTGACCGGGCGAGTCGCAGCCCTGGTGCAAACTCTAGAGTCAACGGCGCGGCTCAGGATGGTGAAGGACGATACCCAGAGAGAGATGAGGGTTCTCCGTCTCGGCATGACGAGAACGGAAGACCTCCAAGGTCACCACTCAAGCGAAGAGAGCCTGACGATGGCGAGGAACAGAGCGACAGAGCGGAGAAACGAGCTAAACTCTCGGAAGATGAAGAGGGCGAACTAGTTGAAGATTGATACCAAGGTTGCGATTCATATGCAACACAATACAGCAATACACTATTTGTAGAGTACGGGACAAAGAGGCGTTATAGGTTTTCTTTAGTCCGTGAGTTAACACCCGCTTACGTGAGAAGGTTGATAGGTATTTACGCATGGTAAAAGGCTCGATCTGGTAGAGCAGGTAAACGTTCGGGAGGATGCTCCCAGGATACGGCGTTTGGATGTAGGTGGTAGACGTGCTCTGCTACTACACTTAGTTTTTAGCTCATGATCGAGGATATATCTCGGGGGAGGTTGATAGATTGCGGCAGACGACGCCCATTCAAGTACAGAATTGAAAAGAAATCGTGCATATTACCTCGCGTTTGTGGCTAAAGAGAGCACTTGTATCTCCTGTATATTATTACGTGCTTTTGTAGATATCCTAGGGATCGAGAACCACGAGTGGTTGTGGGTGGTGTTGGTATATTGAATTCGTCTGGCTTCCCTTTCCCACTTGTCAGGAATCTCTCGATTTTCCAGATGCCACATACTTTATTGTCTGGCCTATCATTCCCCGTCCATTTCTTCTTTACCGTTGTTATTATTATTGTTGTAAAAGTAAATATATAATAAGGCTCCTTCAGGACATTTTGTACTACACCCTTCGGATACCAAAATATGCCAAGTACCCCGAGCTTCTACAACTAATACCTGCCAATTCTCTTCCTTTGGTTGAACCCATAGGTTGTTTCAAGATTCTGTCAACCCTCCCGTACACGTAGCTGCCTCAGTCATTGCTCGTCCCCGACCCAAGTGCTCGCTTGCTGCCTGCGCTGCACTGAATAAACTGAACGCAGAGCCTCAGGCTTCGCCAGAAATTCTGCCAATTAGCTCCACTCACCGCCTTCAGCCTCCTCTATAAAATCTCGTCGCGTCCCGCTCAAGCTTCGCTTTTTTCTTTTCCTTTTCTCCTTAGCTCTCTTTGCCTTTTGGCTTAGATCAAGTGTAGTATCTGTTCTTTTCAGTTTAATCTCTGAAAGATGTCTAAGGACATCAATCGTGATTATTCCTATTTTTGGCTTTCGGGCAGTTTCCTCTGTGCTTGCACATGATTCTGCCCACAGTGTCCCTGGTATTACACTGCCTCCAGGTGACGCGAACACTACATGGGCCCGGTTTTCATTGCTTGCTCGGGCTTGGCCTGGGCAGTGAAGAAGACACTTTGGTGCATGACGCTAGAATAGTCGAGATAGACACTGTTTCTGTGTGTTTCGGTTCTTAGCGTACACTAGGATGGCAGGCCGTCGGAGAAGACAACGCTTAAACACGCTCTTTCTCAATGTTCGTAAGGAGTGGCTCCGCTGTTGAACGATGTTGCCGTGCTCTTGAATCCATCCTGCTTATGTATATGTAGAAGCAGTACTCAAGTATTGGATGCCATCATCTCCAGGTTTCATTTAGGGTCGACTTTCTGGCTCGTAGCGTTTCGTGATGCGAGCAAATGTAACAAGGGGTAGTTCAGTATTGAGTACCTACGGTATGTTTCCCGCTACTCAATACACACGCCGTTGACCTGTGATCTTGCTTGTGCTGCGGTTTCTTACGACTCCCGTGTTCGTCGATTTCTACGTGGCTTCCTAAGGCACAGACAGGATAGAGGCTGCTGCTCCCATGAATCCAAAGTTGTTTGTTCCTCGGAGATAAAGTGGCGTTCAAGTCGATCTACCTAGTAGTTAGATTGGATAATAATACAAGAGAGATGCACAATCCAATGTCAAGTATTGAAAACCGTAACAAACACCACATATCCGCCGCCAACACCCAGCATCGCAACTTTGTCGTGTGCTATGGTCGGGGAAGCAGTCCCGATTAGGTCTAGTGCCTCTGCTCTTGGAGCTCCTCCAAAAAGTCCACCACAGTCACCCACATTGATTGTCGAAACAGCTTCAACTGATACCCACTGAACGAGTCCAGTAACTCCCTTCAACGCACTTCAACCTCTATAGCTGGCCAATATCCTTTAATACCACACTCAGAACCCAAGCACGATATCGCTGAAGAGATTCAGACGTCATGGCTACACTCGGCGGATATCTCAACAGTACGACACCGTTCCCAAGCTCTACTACCTACCTCACCAGCTTGCTAACACAGACCGCAGAGAAAGTCCTGATCGTGACAGCCGATTCGCGTATTCTTGTCGGAACTCTGGCAGCATGCGACCAAACAACTAATCTGGTGAGTACCCTCTTACTTATCTTGACCATACAAACGCTCACGGCATGTGCTTAGGTCTTGAGCAACGCCGTGGAACGAATTATCCGGACGCCCGACGATCCTGAGCCTTCCGCTCAAGTGCCTTTAGGTCTATACCTCGTCCGCGGCGACAACGTATGCTCAATCGGCCTCGTAGATGAGGCGCTCGACGACAGCATCAACTGGACAGAAGTCAAGGGTTCAGCAATCGGCGGTATAAAGCACGTATAGGCTACACACTCGAAACATCGTAAAGCGGTCCGCACTGCGACATTTTCTCTCGTGTTATTCTGTTTGGGGTACAGCATCCACTGCTGGAGGTTTGGGAAGCTTCTTTTCCACGGCATCGATAGGATCACAAGGCGTTCGAGTTCAGGGAGTTTAGACAATTCATCTTGGCCTTCGCCACGGTATATGCTTTCAACAATTGGAGATGATTCATTTGACTATTTAAGCTGACGCAAGATCGACAACCTGGACTCTATCCAAAGATGCGCTGCATGAGCACTTCCTTGAAGATGTCATGTCCGGGAGAATCGATCACACGGTTGAGACGGTTACCCTTGAGGACACTCAGCCAACCGTGGTCGTCGCCAGGGACCTCATCGAGAGTCAAAATATGGGGGTCCTCATTGGGGTTTTCTGAGAGGGCGACTGCGGCTTCGGCAGGCTTCTTTCTGAATCTACGATCAACGACATGCATTCCATGTGTCCATTGACCGCTGGTCTCCACACGGATGTCCTCCAGTTTCTCGGGTGTCTTCCACTTAGGATCATCTCGGGTCAGCATATACCATACCGTCAGGGGATCGTGCAACGAAAGACC